AGACCAATGCTTGTGAAATGTTGTCTGGATGTTACTAGTGCCCAGACCACAATGATTTTCCTTTGCAAAGCAAGTCTGCTTCCTCAAAAGCACTTATAAAAGGTTTTTGAAGATTTAAGTGGAACTGTCTGGTGTAGTTCTGTGAGTGTGACTGATTTCCTTATTTCCCCAATTCAGAAAATGTCATTTCTGTGGCAAAACTCTAATGAGTAAATTTATCTTGGATACAGAAAGACCTGAGCAACCTGCTTTCTATTGTCTTCCTTCTTTTCTTCCCCAGGCAAGAAATTTGATCAGTTTTTTCATAGGCAGTTGACCAAAGGTTCTCCGGTCAGTGCAGAGATCTGAATTTGAGTCTTTCATGTCCTATACAGTTGCTCAAATAGAAAAATGCCTGGGCAAAGTAAGCCCTTCCTCTTTAGCATGAATGTTGTACCTTTAATCTAAAAATTCTCCTTGAAGATACTAAGCCAGTACATTTCCACAGAAAGTTATTGCCTTGGCAAAAGTATGTTTATTACAGAAAATGGAGTAACAGTGAAAAATCCTAATCAGTTATACTAACTGTTGTGATAAGAATTCGTTATTATGATGAATATATCCTGGAAATACTGGGGAAAAAAAAAGTCGGTTACGCAAAATGTCACTAGTAAGATTTCAATAACATGAGGTCTTTGCTGCTGTACTAAAGCATCATCTGATGACTAAGTGATCTGCAGTCCAGAAGCAGATAGGTGGCTTCCTGAGCTCTCCTGGCAGCTTTGCTTTGGAGACTGTTCTGAGATATTCTGCGTTAGACTTGTCAAGTAACAACACAGGAAATCTCTTCTTGCTTATTAGACCATATACTCATCTTGGATTCTTGGTTCAGAAGGATGTATCTTCATTGCTGCAGCTGCTTGCTGAGTATAGGCTGACTGATGTGGGTAATTTTAGCACATTTTAGCACATTTTAGCACGTTTCACATGGGACTAAAACTGTCTCCACTTTGAGAAATTTCTTTCACACCCCAGAGTGCAATGCAAGTCCAGAGCTGTGACACAGTTCCCTGAAAGGCAGACAAAACTTCCAGAACTGTAAGATGTCTCTTAGCGTCCTATGAGTGACTCCAGAGCAGTGACTATGCAGGAGCAGTTACCTAATTGCGGAACCATTCATGCAAACTGAAATAGAATTAGCACTCACATTTTAATCCAATCATTGTGTAGAACATTTGCAACCCTACCCATTTAAAAAGCAGCTCACAATTAATCTTCGCTTGCTGAAGTTTTCTTCTGTACATGGCATTTCACACTGAAATTGTAATTGCTGATACATGCTTATTTCATTAGGAGATCATTTTGTTTTGAAGTCGTTGTGCAGTTTCCTTTGAAACTGCAGGAGAAAACTTCTGCTTTTCTGTGTAAGTGCATGTGTGTGTGTGTGCCTTTGTTCTCATGCCTAATTCATTCTCATGTATCCATACGAGCTTAGGAGATCTGTTTTTAAAGGCGTCTCTCTGATAAATAAGTTTCTCTCTGCTCAATATTTTTTCCTGTCAAGGAAGTTAAGTTTAGCTCTCCTTCGTGTTAGAATAAAACACTGATGGATATTGGTTTGCATAGATCTCATAAGAAGCAGAAAAGATGATTTAATATTTTCTATTTGCAGTGGAGGAAAAGACTTGGAGAAAAATGACAGCATTCAAGATTTCTTGCCACTGCTAGACTGAAAATCAGTGTGATTTGTTGCTTTGCTTTAGTTACCTTTCTTTGGTTTTGCTTTCTGCTTTTTATATGATCACCACCAAATTTAAAAGTAATTAAGCTAAAACTTCACTAAAATAGGTGACATTATTTTCAGGCTCAGAAACTTCTGAATCAGTAAAAATTGGACTTGTGATGGTCTGCAGTACAGACATATTCTCTTCTTCTTCACTCAATTTACTGTTATCTTCATGTTTTTCTGTAGGGGGCAATAGGCAATAACAAATGCCTCCTCTCACACTCTTTAAATACAAACAGAAAAACTGCAGGCAAAATGTTGGCTTTACCAAGTCGACTAGAAGTCCAGAATGTGAATTACAGTCCTTTATTGTGGATCTTTATGTGTGTAAGATAAGAGATAACCTGCTATTAATCTAAAAAACGGGCTAAACATTTGTCCTGATTCTCCAAACTGTTCTGATTTTCCTATATGAAAGTTCTCTTTTGGTACTTCAAGGGAGTCCTATTTTCTGCATTGCTTAACACACACACACACACACACACACACACACAGTACATAAATTAAAGGAAGCCCAGGGGCACACTGTAATGCCAATAATAAAGGAGAAAGAAGCAGCCATTTAATATCTCTAACAGACAATTCTATATTAAATGAGCATGTTTCTTTTGAAACAGAACAGGCCCTGATCTGGAGAGGTATTTAAGAGGCATTTATTGTGTGGATGTGGTGGCTAGGGACATGGCTTAGTGGTGGTCTTGGCAGTGTTAGGTTGATGGTTGGAGTTGATGACCTCAAGAGTCTTTTCCAATCTAAATGATTCTATGACTCTGTGACCTTTGCAGTGAACACTTCACCTGCAAGTCTAGACCTGCTAACTCTCCAGGGGCCCAAGAGCTATTGCGTTAAAAACGAAAACAAAGCAAAGCAAACAAAAAAACCCCAAAACAACAACAAAAAACCCAACCAACCAAGCAACAAAAAAACAACAACAGCAAGCAAACCAACCAACCAACCAAAAAAAAAACCCCCCAAAAAAACCAAAAACACAACCCTAAAAACCACCCTGAGCATGCCAAAGATTTATTTGACTACTCTTCTGAATAATTCAGTTTTATAATAGGCAACATAGTTATCAGGGAGGGCAGAATAAAGTAGAAAAGAGTGATATACGTACTTCTGCCCACACATCTATGTGATGCAGATGTTTCAGCCCACTCAGTGACTGCAGCTGTGCTGAGCACAGTGGCCATTCCCTTTGGCTGTCCTTTCCACCCCCCCGTGTGGCTTCCCCTCCTCCTCCCGCAGCCTTTGCTGAGGTGCTGGCTTCTGCATTACCTAAGAGCCAGCATTATTTCCCTAAGCACAGAGCTCCCTAAATAGCGCCTTTACTCCTTCCAGTCCTGTTTGTTTTTCCCCTTGCTCAGCATGATTGTCAACAACCAACCTTTCTTTAATTAGCAATAGCAATATCGAGACATTTTGTATTTGAATAGCATTTGACATGATTTAGGATAGAATTCCTGCCAAAAAACTATGCTGCTGCATCCTTAACTTTGCCCTTCTGTGTGACCCAAGCAAAATCCCATGAAGGGAATTTCTTAGTCTTTCTCTAGGTCTCACAGCACATAGCCAAGAGGATTTTATCTTTAGTGGTTGTGCATGGCATGAAACATGAATATTAATAGGTGAGAAGAGGAAATGAAATTCAGATACAAGATTTTTCTTATTGGTTTTGATTGTTCCAAGTGAAAATACAAAACGCAAATATGAAGCTACTATAAACAATAAAACATAAAAGATAAAAAAGATAAAAGTGTATTACTAGGTTGTAGTACCAAAAAACTGTATACATGAATTGAAACATCAGAAGTGGCTTCAATTCCCATTCAAGCACAATGATGTCCTCCAGCACAGAAAAAAAGAAGTAACTAAATTTACAGATTGAAGTGGTTGTACATTGGTGTCAGGAATATATTTAGAATGCAGTATTCCTTCGAGGCTACTTTCTATGTCATGCAGTATCAGATTCCAGTGTGTTACATGGGAAGCAGTATTTCTCTGTAGGGTTTCTTATGCCAGGATGCTCCTCAGCAGTTTATTAACATAATTGGTTGGCTTTCCTTACATTTAGTATTCACTCTTTAGGAAGTTTTTCTACCAAAGATTCTTTGCTGTCATCCACATCTCTGTATAGATACTGACTTCATGTCCTTTTTACCTCATATTCTAGTTTGATTGAGATGGGATCACTAAATTCTGCATAGAGAAACAAGGACATCTCAAATCACCGGAAAGCAAATACGTTACTGCACTGTATTTGTAGCTTATTGAAATAAAAGAAAGACATTCATTATGAGCCTAATGTCCTTAAAAGGCAGTTTTAATATGTTTAGAGTTACTGCTCTCTGATCACCATGCAAGTGCTCTTTGAAGAATCTCATAAATCTTCAGGAGATGAAATTGTACTTTGCAATGAGGAGTCTTGAAGTAAGACTCTAGCATTTAAGAGATGAGACTTAACATGGAAATTTTTATTCCTTTCTTTCATTCGCTGCAAACCTGTTTAGCTTTGGGTAAGCACGCATTTTGCTGACCTTTTTCTTACAGTGTGTGATAGATCTATGACCTATTAGGTGTCTGGAGAATAAAACTCATTGCTAATTGTGATTGGATATTTCACCAGTAAGGCCCATGTAAGCATGTAGATAGACGTATGCTCAGATAACAGGTTGGCTGTATAAAAAAGGTAACTTCTTTATGTGAGAACTACTCCAAAAGCAATGCCTTCTATCTTATTATATTGGCCAATGACATCAAAGGTGAATTTTGGTAGATGGGAAGATTGAGCCTTAACATCAGTATTCTGTTCCATTTTGTTGCCACGTGACAGATGGCAGCAGGAGGCAGTCTGACAAAATGGTGTCTGATATGGAAATGTGTATGAAGCAAAGGGGTGGAATTGAATTCCTCCATGTTGAAAAAATGCTGCCAATTGATTTTCAGCAGTGCTTGCTGAATGTTTACAGAGAACAAAGAGTGGATGTGAGCATGGAGGTGTGGTGGGTGGTGTGTTTCAGCAGAGATGACAGTGATTTGAAAGAAAAGCAATGTTCTAGATGACTATGAACAGCTGCTGCAGGCTTTTATGAGTGTGGAATGAAGGCTCTTATTCACTGCTAGTGAAAATGCATAGCTAATGGTGATGGCTATGTTGGAAAAGATGTTTTGTGCTGAGAATTGGCTTTATCAAACAGTGTTATTGTGTTCTTTCTATCTGTTTCCATTTTCACAGAAATAAATAGAAGGCACAACTTTTGGAGAGATCTGCATTACATTGGGTAATGTAATATTTTTTGGAAGAATATCTAGGATCACAAATTTTAATTTCTCTCTTATGTGTAAATTAGGAATTACTGAGAACAGTTGATTTTCAGCACTTTCAAAACAGAAAAAGTGGAATGTGAATATTCTATATATTTTTTTTTACTTTGTAAAATAACTTGTATAAGTTGTAAAAGGTTCAGTGATTGCTTAAAGACTTCATATTTTCTTCAAGTTATTAATCTGCTGTTGAAAAACTTGTTTTTATTTTAATCCTTTTTGATTAAAAAAGTTATAATTCTTAGATGAAGGTGCAGGCAGTTTCCTAATCACTACTGTAAGAAAATTGTTTAGTTTCTTGTATGACAGCTAATAATAATGATAATTTGGGTCATCCTTGCCAGTGCAACGTACCCATCTCCACAATGCAGCCTGGCAGCTGTTTTGGCATGTTTGTAATAAAAATTAGAAGAGTTTAGCATAAAAAGAGTTTTTAGTGCTGTTTTTCTCTCAGCACTCTATTAGTCTGGTATAAGCTCCTAAATCACAAAGTGTTCCATTTCATACATAAGTTTTTCTCCCTCCTGTTTGGGTGCAGAGCCAATATGCTCTGTGCAGCAGTATGGCACACGGTCTAGTTTCCAGCCTTGATGGAAGGGCAGGAATGCTATAAGCTCAAGGCAAACAATACACTTTACATGGCCTGCCTTGATCAGTCAAAGGCCCAAGGCTACACTGAATTGTTTTTCTCACTGTTTCCCCTCTTGACCACAATGCCATGAGGTATCACCTTGATACTTTCTTCTAATAATGTTCCAACTTTATGAAATGAAAGTATGACATCGTGTCCAGATTAACTGTGTCAGCTTGTACTTCTAGGCACGAAAAGAATATGTTGTCAGAAGCATGGAGAAATACAATCCATTTAACCTACAGGTGATATGATCTTTAAAAGTAATGTGTAGCTCTGGGAGAACCAACAAGCAACCCCCTGAAGTGTGATTGTAATAGAAAATGAAGAGTCACAAAGTATTGACATACCTTGCAACTAGGAATCAAAGCTCAGCAATTTACCCAGAAAACTTTTACATCTACAGCTGCAGTGTACCTTGTTGTGACTAGCTGTTACATTCACACAATCCCTCATGAAATGTCTGTTCTACTTCAAGCAACTTTTTTAACATGGCACTAGTATCACTGTTTTCATGGTGTACAGAATTAGGCTTTTTCCACAACGCTTGGTGTGTGAAGTCATGAAACAGTTTAGGTATTTCTTCTAGGTCTGATTACAGAACACATTTTTGGGTTGTTTCTAGAAGTTTTCCTGTTCAGATGATCTTATTACCTGTGCCCCTTGAAGCTGTTCCTGCCAGTGTGAATTCATTAGTCCGCAAATGAGATTTATTAACTGGTGGTTCCCATTGAAGTCTGAAAGTGTGTGAGCAATGTTATTACCATCTATAGGAAAGAAAATCTCCTGTCAAAGCTCCTTTCATGGTATTTGAGGATGAGAACTTGATCTCTAGATAAATGCATGTTTATTAGATAAGATTGTCATCAATGAAACATTTAAGAATTTGCTGCTATAGGTGAGTGTGTGAAGGAAGGAGTGAGGGAGGAGGAACCTGAGCCAAGGGTTTGTAATTATTTTTCTGCAATGGGTCACGGGCAGTAATATCCCTTAGAGTTCTTCCACATATGCTCATATCTACCAAAGAATATTGTTTCATGGCAGACTTCGTTATATTTTTAGACAAAGTTAGATGAAAAAGTTATTTTGCTCATTTTAGAGCAACAGTCCAGACAGATTTGTATATTGTTTAACAAAATCAACAGAATTGCTAAAAATGACGGGAAAAAATAAAACTGAACCTATGTCACCCCTAACATATATGAAAAATAATATTTTTTCACACAATATCTTCCTCATGAAAGCTATCATTTGTAACATTTTTTTTTTCAGAGTTCTTGGCATTTATCAGTTAAAAACATCAAAATTAGAAAAAAATTATCCTTGGTTCTAATGTGAAAAAAAAATCTGTAAATAATTACAGAGAAATTATTGTTTCTATTGTTGAATATTAGAGAAATTCTTATATCAGAATTCTCAAGTGATAATGCTTTAAGAAAACAAACTCTTAATTCCCCACCAGGATTCACATCTTATTAGTAAGATGCAAGTTCAAATTAGATAGAGAATAACCTGTGTTCTGCTTTCCCTTGTATCTACATTCGATACGTATAACATACTGTTTGTAAGGCCTGACAGAAGGCTCAGCTTTTTAAGGAACAGAGACTGATAATCTTGGAAAGCATTTTCTTCAACTTCTGCTCCACTTTATTTAGGAATTTTGTGGCTACGGTATAGATGGGCTTCTAACATGCCCTGTTCTTCCACCCAGAAATGCTGCCAGATGGGATTAGAGGCCTTTGGTCATTTGCCCAGGATTCATGAATGATCATAAAATACTCAGAGCAGTAACGAGTTCTGAGAGCACTGCGGATGTCCAGAAATCCCATACAAATGGCCAGTGATCACGTAGGGATCAAAAGCATGTTGTGTGAATTAAAAATATTCCCATGTGAGTTCTGTAAAATGTTGTACCATACGTAGACCTTTAATATTCTCTTGCTATAACAAAAAAATAAAATCAAACGTATGGTCTCTTAAACAGGAAAAAAAAATGGTAGATTTCAGGAGCCATTTTTTCAGAGCTTAGCAGTAAAATAGTGTTGCATATAAAAATACAGGAGTGTATTTTTAATTCTAAGAAGCATTGTTGTTATATTCCATGCAATGGTATGATTTCAGCTTATCTTTCCCTTAACTGGGTTTTAAAAGAAGCAAGTTCTATGTCTAAGAAAGAAAATCACTGCAGAAGGTTCTGCAGGTATGAAAGCAGTGTGCTGTAATTTACACAGGAGCATTAGCAGCTGAACATCTTTGTGCTACAGCTAAGCAGGAGCAGAAAGATGCAGCACCTTTCTTTCAGTGCAGTGAAAATCTTTATGGTAAGCACAAGAATTACCTTTTTTCCCTCTTATTTCAGCTAGTGGAGGAACGAAAAAAGGACAAGTAGAGATGCTGAACAAGATCTAGTGGCAAGCCGTATCAGAGAAGAATACCACTTCTTGAATTTTTGAAATGCAAACATATTCATTTATGGTTTATAGTTAGGGAGCATAGGCACTTTGTGCAGGCAAATTAGTTTTCTAAGTGACTCTCAAGACAGAATATTCTTCATTATCATCTGTGGTCGTGTTCTGCCTAGTTTCTTTAACTCTCTCTAACAAGCCTTGGAGTTTGCAGAATCACAGGTTGGTTGAGGTTGGAAAGACTTCTGGAGATCATCTCATCCAAACCCACTGCCAGTGCTTGATCACTCTCATAGTAAAAAAGTGTTTCTTGATGTTCAGACAAAGCTTCTTGTGTTTCAGTTTGTGCCTGTTGTATTTATCTTGTCAGAGGTCAGCACTGAAATGTCTGTCTCTCTCTTCTTGACATGCTCTGTTCAGGTAAGTACTCACGTTAATAATACACACAACCTCTTCCTTAAGCTGAACAGTCCAACTCTCTCAGCCTTTCTTAGGTGGAGAGGAAATCCTCTTGTGGCCCTTCATTGGACTCTCTCCAGCATGGCCGTGGCTCTCTTATACTGGGGAGCCCAGCATTGGAAATTGCACTCCAGACGTGGCTTAACATTTGCTGAGTGTAGTAGAAGGAACATCTCCTTCAACCTGCTGCCAGTACTTTGCAGAATGGATAGTGCAAAGTTAGCCTCCTTTGCAGCCAGGGCATACTGCTGGCTGATATTTAATTTGGTGTGCACCACCATCCCTTCGATTCTGCCATGTCCACCTACATGGGCTTGTAGAGCTAACTGCATGGGGTTCCTCTCAGCTCATTTCTGCAGCCTGTCAAGGTCCCTCTGGATGGCAGCAGCACCTCTGATATATCAGCTCCCATGGAGAAGCATGACAAGGTTGTGTCATCTGCAACCCTGCTGAAGGTAAACTCTGCCCCATCACTTAGATCATTAATGAAGATGTTAATCAGGATTGGATTGCCACTAGCCCCTTCAGCCTGTTTTCAACTCACTCAATGAAAATTCTCCACATGAAAAGTAATCATTGTATTACTGATGATGGCATTTCATAATAGTAATTCTTTAAACAACAACCCATTTTTTCCCATAGTATTTCAGAATAAAAGTAAATATGATCAAAAAATTTTTGCTGTTGCATACAGTGAAGAGAAAATGCGGGATTAATGAAAATGATGAAAAAAGGATTAATAACTGTAACATTAATTCATTAAACAGCTTGTATCAAGTTTAGTAATTTCTTTTTGGAATCAAAAGTGAATGAGTTAGTGTAACAGGGAACAAGGCAAAGTGCACTTTTGTTGCAGAAAGGAGTTTCCTTTCATTTTCTACTTGTGTGTACCACATCTGATTTGTCTGTAACTCCCTAAGTTTTCCTGGCCAGATTCTTGGCTCAAATCAAGTTCATGAAAGCAATTATAAGGGGACTTTGCTCAGCAGGTTATCTGACCATCAGACTGTCAAAGGTAGAGGTAATTTCCAAGGACATAACAATTTTCCCTTACTTTAATTTGCCCTTTTAAAGTGTAGTGATATGATGGGCAGATGTATGGCAGATTAATTGCCTAGTGACAACCAAAGTGGCTGCAGTTCAGTGATGTGAGAAGTGATCCTGATATAAAACCTGCACCAGCAGAACTGTAGACTTAGGTGACCTAATGGGTCATTCTTATTTCTGATGCCCAGAAAAAAGTTATAGAACACGTAAATCAGTGTAATATCCTTCTAAGAGGGAAATGTTATAAATATAAATGATGTTAATTGTATATTTTAAGTCCACAATTTAGAACTTAGAATAGTTCTACTCTCTCTTACAAGATATGTCTAAATGCCAGTAGTTTTCATTCAGTGCAATGAAAATCTCAATGGCTAATCCAATGACTTTAGAATCAAATGGTTATTCATTTAGCTGGAGATGTAGAATGCTATAGTTGGAGTGGAAGATTATAGTTTCCATACCCTTTATTATGTGGTTTTGATAATGATCTGTTATGTCACATCATGGTTTCATTTCTCTAGGCTCTGGTATGGTGCATTTCTGTGTACACTTCTCATGACTGTACAAAAGAAATTGACATACTTCTCCCTTCCATTTGCAATATTCCCATAAGGAAAGAACAATTGCACAAAAATCACTGCTTTTTGCTTTAAAATTAAGTAACATAGATCTCACCACAATGGTTGTTGCTGACATTTATTTATGGCAGAACAACTGTGATAAGATGCCATCAAATTACTGCTGTGGCTGTGGGTGAGACACATGTCAAGTTTCTGCACTATGCATTGGATAAGAAATGCAAACTATCTAAGTGCACATTTGTAGGAAATGGCAAATGCGAAGGAATCCTTATACTGAAATGAAAGAGGATAGGAAACAGCCATGAGTTTTTAGCTTCAGCCAAAGCACTCCAATGTTCTGGTGCCTATTCACAGTAACTACTACTACAGCAACTCAAAGCACCTTCGGGGTGCAGATGGCTATGTTCAGAAAATGTATTAACATCATCTAACTATGAGAGGAGAAAGAACCCATCTCCACAGCGAAGAGACAAGTCATGTGAGGATGAGACAAGTCATATGAATATGAGAACAGCACTTTCTGTGATGGTGCCAGAGACACTTGGTGAAATGAGCAGAGCATGTTTCAGCTCACAGAGAGAACTCACAGAGAGAAACTCATTCCAAGATCACAGTAAACATCGAATTGATCTAAAAGAACAAGAACCTTGCTAAAGCTATTAACTCAGTGAAGCCATCATCTGTAACATCTGTGTGCCAAAAAGCAAGGAGTGGAACATCTGACATCATTAAAGAGAGACTCAATTGGTCACCCGTTACAGTGGTGGGAGAAATTAATCTCTGAAATTATTGAATTAGGATCAATATAGCATCCAAAGACTTTCTTAGTTTGGAAAGATAGTGCACAATAAGGTATTGTGTAAATTGGCAGTGCATCATTTTATTGGACACTAATTTTCTTCCCCGCTCTGTACAACAGAGTTTAGAAGTTTCTTCCTGATCCCTCAAGGTAAACAGGTGCATCACAAATGAAACAACTCCACAATGTAATAAAAGTTCAGGTGGGAAATCCTTCACAGCAAGAGACATTTCCCTAGGCATTGCTATGGCAACAGATGATTTTTAGATGAACTCATTGAATTTTTACTATTCAAAGCTGAACTGAACCTTTGAACTTGAAGAAATGAGTTTATAAATTGAGCCCATTCTGAAGTGTCCCAGGACCTGATTATACTCTTTGAAGGACACAGAAAGGGAATCTGTAATAAGCTTCCACCAACATTCAGTGCTACTCCATAACTGGTTATCTGCTCTTAGGCAGTGAAGAAAGAACAAGGAAAGGAGTCTCTCTGAAATGGCCTCTTAATACTATGTTTGGTTTGTGAAGTATCTGTAGCATCCCTTGATTAAGGCTAAGAGTATTGCTTCACTGGCAAAAAGGGTAAAAAGCAAATACTCAAGGCATGATTATTTCACCGGGGTTCTTACTTCACATTGGCTGAACTAAGCAGTAAATCAGTAATAACTTAAGTTCTAACTTGCGGTAGCAGTTTGAGTTAAATCTCAATACCTGAAAGGAGCTTCAAATCACCTTATTTGACTTAAAAATTTGCTTCTTCTTCGATACATTCCTTCACTGTGGTAACAGGATCTAGGTGATTTAGGATTGTGATTGCCATTTTGAAGAAGCATGAAGTTTGATTTTCAAAATCAGATGGTTGTCCATAACTGCTACAATTCTGACTCTTCAAGAATTGTAAACTTTAGGTATCTGGAATCTCAGTTTATTTCACAGAGTCTGGACAACCCACTTCACATTGTTCCAAAACGGCCTTATTGTCAGTCAGAGGTAGAAATGACAGCTTCCTAAATGTACCAGCATAACTATGCTAGGAATCATGTATTTCATTCTACTCTAGAGGACACAGAGAAGTTGTTCTTGTTTTTCTGACCTTACTCATGGATTTCCAAAGTTGTATTTCTCCTTAGAACTCTCTGGGAATCCCTGAAATGAGAGTAAACTTTCTGAGACAAGAATGCTGTGATTTTCTGTTTTATACCACACTTTAGTACTTCATTTTTCCTCTCAGTAGAGAATGTAGTGTGGAAATAACTTGTCCTCTTCAGTAGAATCATTTGTCTGCTTGACAACTATTCCCAACAGTTCTTTTTATCAACTTGGATAATATTTCTGAATTTTATCTTTGCTATGTGGAAGCAAATTATAAATGTATGCTTTGAGATGAAAGATTCCCATTGACTTTACCAGATTTTCATTATATATTATATAATCTCTCTTCTGTAAATCACTATATCCCTTCTCTTTTGGTCTCAAGGGACAATTGCTGAATCCCTTCACCTTTTAGAACTCTAATATCTTTCAGTCTGAAGAAAACATCAATAATGGAGTTATGGAGTTTCTTTTCTTAGACATGAAAGGAAAGAACAAAAAAAATTGTACTAAATACAATTAATTTGCAGTCCCCACATTTATAATTGATGTTAGATTGTCAGTCTTCTGGTCTTCGTCATTTTTTCATTTATTTCTTTGCCTATAACTTTTCTCCCACAGTGTGTGGCTTTCCATTTTCAAATCCAGTTTTGCTAATAATGTCACACACCACAGATTTTGAGTCATCCATTGAAGAATGATTAAACAGACTTAGCACTCATAAGCAACTACTTTAAACTATCCATAATTCTTTACTGTCTGACTCTGGAAGAGTATGACATTCTGAATGTCATTTTTACTTCTCATATGATATTTAGCTACATTTCCTTCCAACTCTGATTCAAATTCTCTGTCATGTAAAATCTAACAGGAAGGTAGGAAGGCTGTAGCAGAATCAAGAACTAAATTATTTCTTCCAAGCATACTGGTTAAGAACAATTATTTTTTTTCCACAGCATTTTGCTTTGCCACAATAGCGGTATTATGGAAAAAATAAAAATAAAAATTCTGCAACTGCCCAGAGATCCCATTATAGGAGCATATTTTTATTTTTTCCCAATTCCTAACCCTTTCAATTTTTACTTACCCTTGTTTTTATTTTTTATGCACTGGCTCATACCATAAGCTCAGAGGGTTCACGTAGATAAGCAGAGCCGATAGCATAAAGGACACTGTTCCCAATCAGTCTCTAGGCATTCCTGCACTACAAATCATGACATTACAGGATTTTTCTCTCTCTTGACTTGCTGCCATATCCAGACAATGGTTTATTATGAATCCTGCAAACTGCAGAACAACCTAGGAAAACTATCAAAGCACTAAGATGTTTTGACTGTAATCTCTTTGAGAGCTTGGTTTTATCACCACTATGATCAGAGTGCTCAGCATCTCACATGCAGGCTACTATCCCAAGGAGCCTAATCCCCCATTTCAATCCTTTTTAACCGGATTTTAATTAGGCCATGGTAATTTGTGTGTATGCATGCTCATATAGACAAATTACCATCATACACACTCACGAACACATGTATACACACACATAAGAAATAGTTTATTAAAAAACTCTTTTTTTTTTTTTTTTTCCCCCCTAAGCAAGCAGCTTCCACATGGCTTTAATTTCATGCTGGTAACACTGCACTACATATGCTCATTGCTTTATATATCCTGAAGCCATACCACATGGATCAAACATACTGGCAGCCTTCAGCTCAGTAGAAAAGCTACACAAAATAAAGATGATAAAAACAGCCTAAAGAAACTCTTTTGCTCTCAAGGAAAGACAATGCAAATGTAGGCAATAATATTAATGAATGCTACTTACAAATTTTTTCAGTTGTATAAATATTTTAATAATTATATGTGTATATAATAAAATATCTTCCAAGATATGATGGGACTGAGTAGAATTATATGTCAGAGGTACGTAGTCACATAAAGTGACTACAGTTATAAAGTCACGTTCTGAAAAGGTTCTTTTTCAGAGTGTGATTTTCATACGTTGTCAGATTTTGTTTGTGAACAAATACATTGCAATGCCAAGGTCTTGTGAAAGAGTCTGGTCAAAATTAGAAGTTCCAATCTGGAAAGTTATTCCCCTCATAGAAAATTATTTTAAAATATGTATTTAAAAAAAGCAGATTTTTTTTTCTTGAAGGACAATTTGTGATACTTTCTTTAGATGGCACAGTAAAGATTTTTATTTTCCTTTATGTACTCCGTCTAGGCAAGATACATGTGGAACCTCTGAGGTGAGGAACTACTTTCTGTGGGAGCTGCAGCATGGCTCAGGTGTGTCGACAAGTGCTTTAAATGAAGAGCAAGATCATGGTTCATCATATAGAAGCCCACATGAATGATTACTTTTAAATTTCTTTGATCTTGTTCATGAAAGTATTTAAAAACTTTGGTAGAGAATGTAAGAAAGGCAGTAATGGCTTCATTTTTCTTAATATGGATACAACAAGCTGCTACTGATTTAGCTCTTTGAAGACTGGGATTTGAGTAGAATAGCTGGAAAGGAACCTTCAAAGGCCATCCAGTCCCACTGCCTGACCACTTCAGCTTATGCAACGTGGCCACAGTAACAAGAAAGTCAATGTTTCCATTTAAAAGTGATTTCTATTTTTGAGGAGCCTAAAGGTCATCCAGGCATCTGGATATGCAGAGCTTTGGAAGAGCTGCTCCTCGATGTGGAGGATACTTTTGGATCTGGATGTTTAGCCTTCTTGAAAATCTGTCACTGTACATAGATTTCCTGAGATTTCTGGAAGAACTCAGCATGCTCCATGTACAAGTGATCTGCCCTGGGTAAGTAAATGTGCTTAAGGTAAAAATAAATAAATAAATAAATAAAATAAAATAAAAATTAAGGAAAAATATTTTATAAGGCAGTTTTAAAAAAGTACAAATCTTAACTAAAGCAATGGTTCCCTTTTTCTTGGTTGTCACTTATCTTAGGGGGATTATTTTGCTTTATTCTGTGAATTGTGTCTCAGGTTCAATTAACTGTTTAAATTTTGATAAAAAATATGGGGTACTCCACTGCTTTGGTGTCGTAGTTTATTTTGGTGGATTGTTTTACACCTTCCTTTCCATATGCTTTGGTGCTTGTATACTTGTTCCTCCACACTGTATAATCTATTTGCACTGTGATGTTACCAAATACCTAAGCATCTGTTACATGCATAGGACTTCTAGAAGTAAATTAAAAATGGAGTTTTCCCAGATGGTTGTACTGCTGTAATTAAGTAAAAACTGCTATTCCCAAGGTGTGCTTGATTCTGCTAATATCATCAGTACTGCTGTTGAATAATCAAGTGTGTTTACAAATAAAATTAGACTGGCTTTTTTTCTTCCAGAACAGCAGGGGTGAATCTTCTCTGGATACAAAACAATGAAGATGTATGGAAGAAGAATGGAATAATACATCAGCTGAATGCATGATCTCCATGATTATATGACAAAAGGAAAAAAAATAAGGTAGGATTGGTTAAGAAACTTAAAATGGCAATCCATTTTCTACCTTTCCAGACAGCTGCAAATCAAATACTTTTCCTGAGACTGAAGATGAAACAAAAGGAACAGATGTTGTTCCACTATTGGCAGATTAATTGAAAAATTAATGCAGGGCCTTGTTCTTAAAGAAAGGATCTTGTCAAAATTCCAAAATAGAATCAGAATATCCTGAGTTGGAGGGAACCCACACAGATCATAAAATCTAGCTGCTGGTTTCACATAGGACCACACAAAAATCAGACGTTATGTCTGACGGCATTGTCCAGAACTGCAGCAAACTCAGAGAAGTTTTAAATATCCCTTTGCTTATTAAGAAGTATTAACATATATCAAATTTATTACTTGTTTATTCAAATATTTATTTATTTATTAACATATCTCAAATGCTACTTTTCTTCCACTACTGTTTTTGTTTTTCAGCCCCTCAAACAATTTCTCTGACATCTCAGTCTACTGTGTTTTTTCAGTCACCTCTCATTCAGTAAGACTTTGTGAAACACTGACTTGTTGGTCTCAGGAGGGACATTTTCCCCACTGTTGCCAGGGCTGCTGGTGTTTTATGGTAACAAGGACTAAGGGGAGAACACTTGTCAGTGAAACATCTTGATAAACAGTCCTTTTGCTTCTGCAATTACCATTTTTCTTGATTACCAGGAAATAGGCACTTGATAAACATGTGGTTTCATTGTTTACCCATTCTGGCTTTCAATTAGAACCAGAAAGCAATAATGCACATTAGAACACTGCTTAGTTGGGTTTGAAACTAGGCAGCTAATTAATGATTAGACATTTGCACTTATTTATTTAAGACAATCTCCAGAGTCTTCAGTGACTGGTTTTTACAAAGATAATAGACTTGTTAGAAAGCTAGAGTAATAGCATCTCCTTTTGGAGTTTTTTTCTTGCTCTTTAAATCATTTGTTATTATTTTTAATTTAAATACTTTTGTCTGGGTATCAGGTATTCAGCACAAGCATAGCATTTCTCCATGCATAGTAGACTGGATGTTGCAGTTTCCAGGCTTTTACCTGTTTTTACCTGTGTTTACAGCATTGTGGAGCTGCTGACCAAATCATGTTATCTGCATTGTTTCATTGTCATCATTTTTGCTTAGCTGCTAAGTATGGTTAATCAGTTGCACTTTGTTGGGCTATCATCTGGTAGTGCCTTTTATTAGTAGCTGATGGACAAACTTAGTACCAAAGTATTGCTGACAAGTATTACAGCATCTCTTGGCAGATCTTGAAGATAAAGCACTTTATCCAAAATCATTTGAGTATCATCTCTGGTTTCAGTCAAGAACTACATATGAGCTACATGCATTTATTCTTGTGTGAAGTCTGTGTAAGAAAAGGCTGAAATGATCAGTCATGACAGAAGGTTTTATCACATTGAAATGTGCATGCTCAGGCATTGGAAAGAGGAGAGAACCTTAGGTGGGTGCAACGGGGGAAGATAGAACAACTGACCAGCAGCATCAGCAAGTCAAACTCAGTTAAAGTGATCATTTGGTAATATTAGATTAGGCATAAGTTTCCCTCATGACCTCCCGACACAATAACAATACATTTCAAGCCAGGTTTATTTTTAATGGCTGTAAGTGAAAGCTTTTTGCCTTTTATCTTAAACTGGTTAAAATTCAGGATGACTTATTAGATCAATGGACAGCACTTGTTTATGAAACAGGGCAAGTATAACAGCACTACCAAGCAGTAAACAGCATTTATTTGCAATTGAAATGCATTGTATAAAGTATGTACTACTTCATATATCTTAAAGTATGAGGAGAGGTCATTTTAAGCAGCCAGTAATTAAGAACAATGAAAATATGAGAATCCAGATAACTTTTCAAAATACATTAGATGCTTAAATCTCTATTATTTTCAGTGAGAGTTAAGCACATTATTTAGAAAAATCTGCGTTTACTAATATTAAAAAATGAGACTGGAACTTTACATTTTTTAAAAAATTCTTCATAGTTCATATCTTTCAGTTAGCAAGAAGTTACACATACATTTGCGTGTTGCACAGATTCCCATTCATACAGTCTATATAAGGTGTGTTCATGAATACACATATAAAATGTATGTATATATGAAAATATGCTATTATTTTATATTAGTCCATGGCTGAGCATTTATGCTAACACTATGCAAAATAAGGTAGGCCAGCTACTAACAAATGTTTTAAGATAAAAGTCACACTTTCATCATACTTTGTGTCTGTATGCATTATATATATCCACTGTCCCTTTTTTAGACTTAAGTGACTCGTTTTGTTTTGAAGTTGCTCATTCATTTACATAGCTGAAGTTTGTGCTGATACGCCTCAGAAACATAACTTCCTCACATGAAGAACATTTCATATGTTTTTAGCATAAATAATGTGGTCATTACTCCTAAATGACACACATTGCTTATTGATAGGGCTAAAAATAGCTTTTTAAAAACCCAAAATGCAATTATGGAAATAATGCAGAAATAATCACAACATGACCATTAATGCAATTTAATTGAGTGATTCAGTGAACTGCTAGAATCATATGGCTGTAAGACAGCATCATGCTTTGCAGCCACATCTGTTGTCATTAATCTGACTTCCACTGAAATGCATGGGAAGACACCCTCTTGGTTCCACCAGAAATCTGCACTGATTTCTGCTGATTTCAGTAGGAAATGGATCCTTATCAATATGCTGAGTGAAATTCAAGAATGCAACCCTCATAGGTTACCTGGTGTTTTCTCAGAAGCTTGATAATGGCCTGTATCTTCCAGTTGGTCATAATTATAAAACAAGAGATTAAATTCACATCACACATCACCCATTTCTGCAAAAGAAAATGAAATGCAAGAAGTTGATCTTGTGATTTGGAATAGTTTGTTGGTACAATCTCTCTGCTGTGGCAATGTAAAGACATGGAGGTTTTCAAGAAAAAGCTAAGTGTGGCACTGAGAGACATGGCTAGAGAGCATGGTGGGGATGGACTGTTGGTTGGATTGAATGATCTTTCTTAGTAGTCTTTTCTAACTTCAATGATTCTATGATTCTGTGAAAAATTCCTTTATGAAGTAGGCCTCAATGAGGTAATCTGGCTTCTCTCAAATAACGTCTATTTAAAATATAAATCTGAAATATTTCTGATGTAAAAGAAGTTAGGAAGTAGTCCCTATGGAAATACGCATCCACAGACATTACAATGTCAGTTACAAAATATACATAAGGTGTTGAAAATCTGATGGGTGTGCTTTAGGAACTTAACCAGTTGAATATGGACTCAAGTTTCCCCCATGGAACATGGCCAAAACTTCTTGAGGTGTTTCTTGACCTTGAATGCATACTCAATTCATACACTGAGACACAGAACTGAAAGACCATCGGTTTTCAGGTAGGGACAAGTGTATATCTTGATGTTAGTGGCAACTGTACATGCTACAGGGATTCTAAACTGATAACAGGTATAATAAGCTGCTGTTTAATCATGAAGGAATAGAACTGTGAGTCACTTCTTACGTTGCTGCACTTAAGATAAAAAGTTCAAAATTCACTTTGGATAACAAACAACACTACAGGAAAATTTTTCACTTAAAAGATGTTGTTGGATTCTGCACTTTTTCTGTAGAACTACTTCAACATAATTTTGTAATATTTTAAAACTGGAAACAAATTGGGCAGCAAATTGTCCTAATCATGTTTGAATATCATGTTTATGTGTTACTGGAAAATTGAGAAGTTAAGGGCGACTAAAAACATCTGTGCTATTAGAAACTGTGTGCACTGTTTACTTCTTCCTGCATACAGTGCCCTCTGCAGGGCAAACTCAATCAAGTATAGGCTGCATTTTTTTTTTTTCATTAAGAACATGTATTTCAATTTTAAGAAGTATTTCAGAGGGAGCGGAAGTTTTGATATTCTAGCACTGTAACTTTAACCTCTTGCATTAGAATAGCATTGTCCTGGACAAAAATATTGTTAGTAATACAGGACAGCTGTGGTATATGAATAGTTTTTTTCATATTTAGCTTCTTATTTTTAGTTCATAATCTGAAAAGACCTAATTCTGGAGGCAAAGGAGAACAACATGCAATAGTAGAGGTCAGTAAGTACCCATAAAAAGAAATAAATTTAGTGATGGAAGAAATATAATGTTGCAAGAATACATGCAATGGTAAATTGTGAAAGGAGAAAGGAAATATACATACTAATGAAGACAGAGCCAGCAGGAAAGCATCCCAGCTTCAGCCACACTGCAGCAGTAAAACTGCAGATGGACTTTCTTACCAAGGTTATTGGAAAAAGACACAATTTTTCTCTGATTTTTTATTGAGTGAGAAAATCTTAAGTCTTTCCATTAACTTCACCTAACCCTTCCAGCTCCCATCAATGAGATGTCAGAATCTAGAGATTCCACAGTTCTAAAAAATAATTTTAGTTAAGTGAGTTTTACAGGGTGGTATCATCTGAAAAAATGCACTGACTATAACATCTGCAATGGTAGAACATCAGTTAGAGAAGTGATTCACTTAGATTTTCCTATGCAGCCAATTCTTCATGTCATCTTATTCCACCTGCTATCAAAGCCTGAAGTGCTGCTGCTGTGCACAGGCAAGGCCAGCAAAAGTAGGAATTTTAAACAGATCCTAGAGATTATTCACACACACACACACACACACACACACACAAAAAAAAAAAAAAACAAAAACCAAAAACCAAAAACACAAAGAAACGGAGTATTGAAACGTGTATCAGGCAGTGCCAGAAATCTGAATTATTCTATGTTACATATATAAATTAATGCCACAGAATCCAGTGTTTAACCTGGATAAACTCAGATCATTTGATGTATATCCCACTTGAATGGCTAGCAAGTAGAAAACAGGCCCAGAATTATTTCCATTTCAAACTTACATGCACTTAAAATAGACAATTCAGTGGAAGAATATTCATCATATTTGCTAGG